GGCTTTTCTGTCATTGTAAGGGGCGGGTAATCAGCCCCGGGGTGACCCTTTCTCTGTGTCCCGCTCCAGACCCACGGCAGACGCAGCTGGCTCCAGAGACACAGGGAGGGCCGGCTTCGTGGCTAGAGCCCGTCCAGGAGCTCCCTGAGTCCCCTGGGCTGGAGCTACGGCCGGTGTCACCTGCTTCAACCCCTGCAGAGCCGGAGGATGTCCCAGGAGTGGCCTCAGCCCCAGGGACAGGCCCCGAGCTGGAGCCCCATGAGCCCTCGGGCCCAGGTCCCATGACACCTGCAGGAATGGCACCGGGCCTGGCAGAGCCAGAGGCAGACCCAGAGCCCACCAGAGCCTCTGTCGCGATCACCCGGGACGTGCGGAGGAAGGAGGAGCGGACCATCCTGCAGTTCCCTGCCCACCTGGTAGCCGAGCAGCTGACCCTGATGTGTGCAGTGAGTGGAGCGGGCTCTTGGGGTCGGGGTGGGCCTTCCTGTGTCACGGGCCGCCCCAGACTTGTCGCCCCTGACGTGGACTCCTGTGATCTGGGCCCATGTCCCAGATTCCCCATGGACTCACCATGTGCCCTGAGAGACTATCCTTACCCCCAAGCCTTCACTGACCACACGGGGACAGTAGGGCTGGCACTTAGGGGTCCTTGCAGACCAATGAGGTGGAGCAGAGGGAAAGTAGTCAGGGCCTGGCCAGCATGGGAGGGGCAGGGCAGGGGAGGGGTGCTCAGGGAGGTGCTGCCAGGGCCTTAGGTCCTTGGGCCATTGGCCTGGCAGGCTTCCGTGCCCTCCACACTTCAGAGGGCCCTGCCATGGACCTGGCTGCGTGGGAGTCACGGACTCCAACAAAGACCCTGGGTGCTGTTGTTTTGGTGGTAACTGCACCTGAGTGGGTAGTGGGATCCACAGGGTGGCAGAATGGGAGGCAGATGCCCACGTTGGGCAGGCGTGAGCTGCCTTGTGACTCAGGGAGCAGGTGAATGAGGATGCCTGTGAGCAGAGCCCCTCCATTCCCCACCACGTGAGGTCCTGTGCATCCGGTCCTAGGCGCCTCAGTGGATGCGGTCTGAAGCCCAGATGGCCACAAGGCTCACAGCACATCCCCAGCTGCCTGGGCTCCAGCTCTGACCGGTGACTCTGCCTGGGAACAGGGGCACCAGGGGCACAGCTGGATGACACCCCTTGTCATCCCCAGGGGCTGTACAGCAGGGTTGACTACAGTGAATGCAAGGCCTACGTAGAGAGCCAGCCACTGATGAAAGGCATAGAGCTCCTGGCCCCCAACGTGCAAATGGTCATCAGGCAATTTGATGCCATGGTTAGCTTGGTCATTTCCTCCTGCCTCGGGACCCTGAACATGACAGCCCGGGACAGGGCCCAAGTGGTGGAGTTCTGGATCCAGGTGGCCAAGGTGTGTCATGGGACAGCGCCCGGGGTCCCTCCTTTGCCAACTCTCAGGGTGGTTGTCTGCGGTCTGCCCTGCATGTTCCCTGAGCCCCTCATGCCACAGGCATGAGGACGTGGACTCGCAGGTCCCAGGGTTGGGACAGCCATCCCTGGCCCCTTCCTTTAGTTGAGCTACAGTCCTACACCCAGGAGGGCTGCTCACCAGGCACCAGGTGTGCTGGCTCCCTGGGTGTCTGTCTTGTTAAGGACAGGAGTTCATGGGGGGACAGAAGCAGAGAAGCAGGCCAGGCTCTCAGCTCTGTCTTCCCTCCCAGGAGTGTCTGGCCCTCAAGAACTTCGCTGCACTCCGTGCCATTCTCGTGGGCCTGCGGAGCCGTGCCATACGTCATCTGGAAAGCACCTGGGGACGTGTTTCCTGGTGGGTAGTCCTCTCCCTGGGACCAGGGCACCTGAGTGGACAGGGGCACCCCTACATCTTGCAGTGTCCCTCAGTGGGCTGGGACGTCCTGGGAGGCGGCAGAGCCTAGGAGCATGGATGACAGGCGCCTGGGGCCCCCTGTGGGTTAGGCCAGGGGTACCCCTGAAGGAATCAGTTTCCTTCAATGTCAGGTGTGGGTGTAAGCCCATTGGAGACCTTGAGCTTGTGTTCTGCAGCACGAAGTCCCTGCTGCAAGGACAGAGACCTGGCCCAAAGCAGATCTGCCCCCAGGAGAACTGGGAATGGAGGCCCTGGGTGGAAACATGCAACGCCCTCCTCTGGCCACAGATTTCGCAGGGCCCAGGGCTGTGGTGGAAAGCCTCATGCGGGCTAGTGGATCTCCTGGATGCCCCAGGAAAACGTGTCTGCACCCAAACTCTCCCCCTGCTGGCCATGTTTCTCCCTCCTCCTCTCCCCTCCCCTTAGGAAGAGCTCCAGGATCTATAAAAAGCTTCAAAAGAGGGACGAGAAGAATAACAGAGAGTGGCTCCTCAAGGTGAACGGAGTCTAGAGGTCTGGAAGGGAGGGGGTCCTTGGGGCAAGTCCTCTGCCGTGCTGTGGCACAGCTTTGGTGAAGACTTGAGGTGTGTGGGGTGAGAGGGGGAAAGCAGGGGCCCCCAGGCCCCCGAGGACCTTGTCTATTCCCCTCCCTGGCTCCACTTGACTGGGGGCCTGGCATCCAGTGAGGACCAGAGGACAGGCCCCAGTCACGGCTGGAGCTGTTGTGGTTTCTGCAGCAGAGTTGGGGCCTATGGCTGAGCAAGGTTGGCTTCTCCCCTGGGTCCCCTGAGCCTGTCACTGCCCCTCTGTGGCCTCAGGCTCCTCATCTGGACATGGAGGGTTGCCGTCACCCTGGGGTGTGGGCCTCCCATGTGAGCAGGCTCCAGGGAGCACAAGAAGGGCTTCAGCGTTGTGCCTCCCCCACCTGGTCGTGTGAGGGGAGCCGTGCTTATAGCCAGGTGACAGTGAGTGCTCAGGGCACCCTGGCAGGCAGAGGGACCTCCTCTGACACTCTCAGGGTTGCGGCCATGGTGCAAGGACACCCGTGAGTATGAGTGTGTGCTGGAGCTGGGGTCGCTCTAGGCCTAGAGCCCGCTGGAGGGGGGGAGAGCATAGGTGCCGGGGGGCTCGGCAAGGCATCCATCCACCACGGTCTGGTTGTGGGAGGCCACGGGGGAGGGGAGCATGAGCATCTGAGTATCCTGGACCTTGCAGGAGGTGGGGGCCGTCGTGAAGCAACAGCTGTGCGCCCCCAACAGATCCCAGGACAGGAAGAAGCAGGTGAGACTGGCGTGGCGCAGGTTTTGGGCGGTGGGGGTGACCCTGCACCTCCTCCGGTGCCACCAGCCTTGAGCTGCCAGCACTGGGGTGACCAGGAGGAGGGTGAGAGCAGCTGGGTCCAGGGAGAATTTGGAGGACAGGGGCAGGGACCACAGGTCCTGGGATTGGCCAAAAGCCACCCCCACGAGGGCCCAGGAGGGGAGAGCAGGGCGAAGGGAGGCAAGGGAGGCAGCACTGGGTGTCCAAGGGGGCTGGGGGCGGCGGGTGTGGGCTTCAGGGTAGGCTCTGTGGGCGACCCTGAGGCAGGTGGGGACTCATCACCTCCCCACCCCGGTGCCACAGGGCATGGTCCCGTTTCTTGGATTATTTCTGCGTGACGTGCCCGTAGACCAACTCCCGGAATATAATGAGGACGTGAGTGAGCCCAGCAGGGCACAGGGGGGCAGGATGGTAGGCTTTAGAGAGGAGAGAGCCGCCATGTGCCTGGACCTCTCAGCACCAGTCCCCCCCCGCTTCCTGAGTCCCCCGTCCACCCCAGGAGCTAGGCTTCTTGGAGAGGACTGCCAGAAGGACCCACCTAAACCCCAGTCCTGGCCCCAGGGCAGGTGGGGCTGAGGGCTACAGGGAGCAGCATGTGAGCAGGACTGGTCTCCCCCTCAGGCCCTGCCCAGGAAGCACATCAGGGGGCTGGCAGTGCCTTCCCCCTGAGGCCCCAGTCTCCCTGTCTGCCATCACACAGTTGCGTGGGAAGCTTGGCCTCAGCTCCCCAGTGCAGTCCCCGCTTCTCGGTAGCCCCGATCCTGGGCCAGATCCTGGTGCTATTTCTGGGAAGGCCTGCCCCTTGGAGGGCCCTGGAGGTCCTCCAATTTGAGAAAGGGTGGGGACGTTCCAGCCTCATTCTTGGCTCAGGGGGCTGTTTCTGATGCACTGTGGTTGCCTTCTTGCCTTCCAGGGTGACAGGACGAGAGTGAGACAGTTGAATGCCATGTCAGAGAAGGTGAGGGATGGAGTCAAGACCCCTTGGCAGAACCCTGTCTGGCCCATCCCCTGGGTCTAACGTGTCTTGAGAGAGTTAAGACATGCAGAGCTGAGGACACTACAGGTTTTGTCAGGCAGGGGGTGGCATCAAGGCCTCCTTCCTGGAGGAGGAGCTGGAGACCCAACAGTGGGAACAGGCAGGGCTGGATGGCATTGGAGGGAAGGCAGGTTCCCGTGTGAGCAGAGATCCGGGACCATCCCAGTGAGCCCCTCCTCACCCCCCTTGTCTGCATCCTGTCTTTCCTCTGCCCCCAGGTCACCACCCTCCAACTGGAGATCATGCTCCATAAGCACGTGGCTGGGCTGTATGACCTGGAGCCCGAGGAGCGCTTTGTGTCCTTTTTCCAGGCCGTGGAGCCCCTGGATGAGGAGGAGAGGTGAGGCCGGCAGCAGTCAGGTGTGGGCTGCAGCTGCCGGCAGGCTCTGGGGGAAGGGCCCCCTGATGTGTGGCTCTAGGGGCTCACAGGTGGCCCTCTGTCCTGCAGCTACAGCCTGTCCTGCCAGCTGGAGTCCCGAGGCCAGGAGGCCGGCAGAGAGGGAGTGTTACCGCCCTATGGGTGGTGCAATATGTTAACTTACTGGCCAGGGCCAGGTGAGTTTCTGGGCTGGGGTGACCTTCGGCAAGGGGTGGGCTGCTCCTCAGCCTCAGGGAAGCTTCGGGCCATGTTCGGTGTGGGGGCGTCCTACAGACCGGTGGGGCTCGGGTCCCAGCTACACGGGCGACGAGTCCTGTCAGACTGAAGGGTGGGTCCCCTCCCCCTCTGGGACCCAGCCTCCTCCTCTGTGAGTAGGTGACGCTCAGGAGCCTTCCTGTGACAGGGACCCCCTGGGTGTGGTGATTGACAGGACCCTCTGCACAGGGCTCAGAGCACAGAGGGCAGTGGGGACGGGGTGGAAGCAGGATAATGGGGGGACCCGGGATCACCTGCCTCTTCTGCTCACCCGCATGGTCCTGTAGCTGCTGTCATCGGGCCCTCGCCCCTGCTGGCGTCCTGGCTGCATGCGGAGCAGAGCCACTTCCCCTTTCGGCCGGCGGCTCCTGGCGCTCCACGACCCTAGTCGGCTTGCTGCTCCTCTTCCTCCCGCTGCTCATCCTGAGCCTCTGCTGGGGCAGCTGCTCTGGCACCTCCTCTGGCTGCAGACTCGAGCAGCTCCCCAGACTGCCTCTGCATCCTCAAGGACCCGTATGTATGTAGCTGCGGCCAACCTGGCCGCTTTCCTGCTGTGTCGTCCTCCTGCTCGTTACCCGCTGGACAGAGGCGAGCTGCCCCACCGTGTGGAGGATGTTCCCCTTTGTGCAGGTGGCCTCCCGCCATGACGCCAACTCCTGCCTGGGCACCGTCAGCCACCGAGTCATAGCCACAGGGTTGCAGGAAGAGCTGGGGGCCGTCCTCCCCAGGCCTGGCCTTTCCCGGGATGGACACGGACACGGCACAGGACTGCATGCGACCATGGCCCCCTGGGTGCCCAGCAGAGGCATTCGAGAACCCAGGGGCGGCCGGCTGTCACAGCTTCCTGGGGCTTGTTTACAGGGGAGCCACTTGTGCAGCTCACTCCCCTCATCCATGGGAAATAGCCTCCCCAGGCTCAGTGTGGTCTGGGTGTTGTCTCTGATGTTAATGGTTCCTGGGGGTTGGGGTCATCCCTGTGCAGAATGTAATAAATGATGAACGGACTGCCCCCACACTGCTCTTTCTTCTCAAAGCTCTGCCCCTCATGCAGACATCATGTGCCCCAGTCCCCCCACCCCGAGCCCTAAAACTCTCTGACGCAGGGTGGCCCTGACCTCCGCCAGGTTGTCCTCCATCCTCTGTCCACCCCCCGTAAGGTGCTCAGGAAGAGTGGGGTGCTCTAAGCCCCAGGCTGGCACACCTTGGCAACACTGGGGAGGGCTGTTCAAACAGAAACTGAACCTTATTTCCTGTCACCTATAGATCATGATCAGACACCAAAACTTGTTGATTAGAAGCCCTAGGGTGTCTCTTCACGTCTTGAACACCACTGCAGATGTAGCCAAGTAGATCCCAGGGCTGCAGGGCATCAGTCTAGCACTGTCCCATTTAATGAGGCACAGCTCCTCCACACATTCCAGAAAATTCCTTTTCAGAAACGTTGAACTTGGTCTCTCAAAGCACCTCCAAGAGGTGCACTCCTTCCATTGGAGGGCACCCCCCAAAGCTCCCAGGTCCCCCAGTCTTCCCCCAATGGTGCCCCTCAGCCGTCCAGCCCCAGGCCAGGCTGGTGTGAGGCCCCTGGTGTCCGGCTCCTGGGTCCTGGCTGAGCGGCCTGACGTCTCTGACGAAAGGCTGGGGAGGCTGAGCGGAGGCACTTGACTCTGATTCTCCCCATAACGCTCCCCGCCAGGGCTCTCAGGATGTGTTCACCCTTCCAGGAAGGGGGGACTGGCCTGGAGGGGAGCTGCAGGATCAGCACAAACAGCCCCTTGGGGGTCTCCATGCTGGAGACAGTCCCCAGGCCTCATGCTTCAGGTGGAGCCCCAGACTGGGACTGGGGAAGCGACGTGGGCCCTCCTGACAGCCTCAGGGGCCCAGGTGACAGGAGGGAAAATCGGGACACCCAGGCCACCCTCCTTCCCCTTGCCCTGCCCACAGCACCCTCAGAGCCATCTGCCTGCATCATGGTCCCAGGGATGACCTCAGGCTATCCGGCCACATAGCGAGGTGGGTTTGGGCAGGAGGAGGGCAGACGGACCTCTGCCAATGCTGTGGCACAGGTCACACCTGTCTTCCTGCATGGCCCACCAGCCTCAACCTGACACAGAAGAGCTTCTGGGCCCAGAAACAAAGCAGCAGCCCTGGGCCTGCTGGGTCGTCACTGGGGCCAGCATTCCATCCTGCCCTGGGTGTGTGCAGGCGCCCCAAGCACGCCAGGTCCTGGACTGCTGCTGCTGGGTCACCAGGCTCACACGGCTATGTGGCCACCCTGACTGGGCTGCAGCGCACCTGCCCCACCCGGCGTGTGCTGGGGAAGCGGCAGGGCCCTCTGGCACCTGATGCGCTGCTCTGCGCATAGGCACGGGCTCTGGGGGCTCCCCGTCTTCGGGCTCATCAGAGAAGCTGCTGCTGGTGCTCTTGTTCACAGGCTCAGAGAATGAACTTTGCAAACAGTCAAGGAACAAGAGCATGTGCGAGGCTTTTATTTAGAGATAAAGCAGAGGACAGAGCTCCTGGCTTGCAGCTGCCATGAGGGGACAAGATAGCCCTGGGGGGATGCATTGCCTAGGGGATTTATAGGCAGGTGAGAGACAAAGGGCTAGGGATGCACACCTGCTAAATAGTCTCCAAATGCTTATCTTTGAAGAGACACTTAAGTTTCTTATCAGTCTTCCAGATTATTTTGCTTACTTGCCATTATTACTTGCCCGGGTTGCACATCATTTGATTAGGGCTAGAGGAAGAAAAGCAGCATCTGGGTAAAGTTGAAGAAAATAAGCTGGACCTTTTAGCAGGCTACGGTAAATTTTACAATAGCCTCATTTAACTGACACAAGGAAGACATGGGCTATGCTGGGGTCTTTTCTCATCTGGGGGATATTCAAACATTTCAGGCCAAGTTACTCCTGGCTTTTTAGTTTTAATTAATCTCACTCAAGAATGATTATATTACTTTAGAAAATTAATGTGACTGACTTTGCATAATTATTGAATAAGGAGTTTCAGTAGGGGTTTTATTCCGGAGGCCCTCACCCTACTCTGTCTAAACCCACGGTCCCTGCCTCACTAGCACTGAGGCTCCGTGGCTTCCCTCCCCAGCTGCTGCCATTCTCTCCTAGTTCTTCCTCCAGGCTTCCCTTCTACACTCTGCAAGCTCTCTTCCCACGCTCGCACCCCTCTCCCCCCGCCCTCCCAGCCTTCTCCTTCCCGCATCCCTCCCCTGGGCTGGGACTCCTGTTAGGAGGGCGTTGGGTATTTTCCTCGGTTCCTGTCCCTGCTGCAACCAAGAATTGAAGGGCACAGACACAGTAGTGTGGGCTACCTCAGAGAGAGGGGCACACTGAAAGGTTGGGGATTTCCCCTTTTAAGGATTTTTCAGGAATGTGACAAAGGGCTAGGGGTGTGGACTTGTTAAGTGGTCTCAAGATGTTTTTCTTTGATGAGACATGAAGTTTCTTATCAGTCCTCTGGGTAATTCTGCAAAATTAGCTTAACACAGGAAATCTACTGCTCTGATTCCCTCCAGGATAGCAGCTTCCTGGCTTGGGAGCAAATCCATTAAGACTGCCTTCCCTGCCTCCAAGGTGGGCTGAGTTATTGTATGTTCGCTAAAGAGTGTGGTAAGTGTGGATAAAATGAAAGTTCCTGTCGCCAGGATTCTCACCTGGGCCTAGTCGGCTAGCTCACTATACCTGTGTGGGCAATATGTTGCTATATACTCTATACAAAGAGCTCCCTCCCAGTGCTCTGGGTGACATGGTGACACGGCTGCGAGGCTGCAGGAGAGCAGAGCAGAGGCTGGAGTGGTGGCAGCGCTGAGGTCAGAGGCCCAGAGGATGGCTGTGTGGGATGGCCATGTAGGCAGAGAGTCCCAGAGGCAGAGACCTACATACAGACTCGCTCTGATTGAATAGGATGTTAGTGATTGACCTGCCACTGTGGAAATAAAGTTGGGTATAACCCTTTCACCCCAAGAACGTTTTACTGTCATTTCTTTGGTCACATTGAATCCATAGTGAACTTGCCCAGGGTTGAAACCCACTGGCAGGACATTAAAAATCTTACTTCTTAACTTCCTGGGTTTTAAAATGCAATCTTAGCTTTAAGATAGAATCTTTCTTGTCTTTACTATGCTGTGTATGTCTGGGCTAGCTTGCTAAATTAACTGTCCAGGCTGCAAATTACTTGATTAGGGGATGGAGGAGGAAAAACAGCATATAGGTAAAGTTAAAAAAATAAGCTGGGCCTTCTGGCATGCTAAAGTGAATCTTGCACATGATTACAAACAATTAGCATAATAAAAACACGGACTGCTTCCCCTCACCTGGGAAATCTTAACTGATCTCACTGAACAGTGCCTCTAGATCTTAGTGTTTAGCACAGAGTTCTGATAGGGGCTTTCCTTGCTTGTAGTCACACTGCTCTGACTGTAATTATCCGGCCTTGCTTTTTCCGGAGGCCTAATAAAAACACGGACTGCTTCCCCTCACCTGGGAAATCTTAACTGATCTCACTGAACAGTGCCTCTAGATCTTAGTGTTTAGCACAGAGTTCTGATAGGGGCTTTCCTTGCTTGTAGTCACACTGCTCTGACTGTAATTATCCTGCCTTGCTTTTTCCGGAGGCCTCACACTATTGTGTCTAAGCCCAGGGTCCGGGTCTCAAGCTGAGCATGGGAAGTGAAACAGCCATGGGAGGAAAACACTTCGCTCAGAGATGGTGAAGATTCAGGCCTTTGCAGAGTCAGGGGTGAGGATCTGTTCCTCACCTCTGTTGGCCCCCAAGTTCTCTCCTGATGGCCCCTCTGCGACTGTGCCTGTCTTAGGTTGTTCCTCCCTTGAGGAATCTTACCCGTCTCTGGCTAGCCAGCCATCCTCCGGGGCCAATCAGGGCGATGTGAGGCACGTGGGTGAGAGAGAGGCGGCATCGGTTTTCTGTCTCCTTGGCTGTTTATGCCTCCGTGGCCTCCGTGCCCAGTACCTGCTTTAGGGATCCCTTGCCAGCCGGCACGGTCCCAGCTCAGGTAATATATTTTGAGGAACTCAGGCCATTTTTTATAACGTAAGATATTTCTTCCGAAACAACACTGTAGTGAAGTTTCAGAAAAAATTTGGTTTGAGAAGGAAGGAGAAAGATCACAGAACCAGCAAACAGGAAGAAAGGTGAAAAGATTGGAAAATCCTCAGGGCAAAACGCTGGGCATAGCTGGGAGCTCTCCCCCTTCTTTCTTTAACTGAAGTTGTAGGTGATGTTGGGTGCCGAGGGAGGCAGACTTCTGAGGGGGTGGTTTTCACCCTCATTTTGGGAGCTGACCGCTGTATGATGACTTTGACCAGCTGTGTGGGGAGCCAGCGAGGACCTGGATCAGACACGACCTCTCCCCCAGAAAAGCACCAATGCTGGCATCTAGCTCTTTACCAGTTCAGGAATAATAAAGTATCAGTGACAAAAGAATTTACAATGGTTAAAGTGCTGAGCAGAACTTACGATAAGACAGTTGATATGTAAGGGTGAGGGAAAAAGAAAGGGGGCATTACAATTAGCACATGTAATTTGGGGGCTGTGCAACACTCAGATTCTTCGTTTGTTCAAGAGGAACATAAAGATGTTAATTAACTTTAGAATGCTGTCATATATATATTTGCATGTGTTATGCTATACAATAATAAAGCATACCATTAACTATTGTATTTTATTACATTTTATATAATTACATGTTATAATATATAACAATATGTATTAATATATATATATATACATACCTGGGGAAAAAAAAACATAAGTTTAGTATAACTTCTAAACAAGCAGAGGTAAATACAAGGACAGAACTGTCCACCAAGGCAAAATAAAAAGCAAAGGAAAGGGAATAAAAACTAGAAAAAGTGAGAGGCATAAAAGGTCAAAATTAGGTAGGGCAAACAAATCAAAGTACATAAATCACATCCTGTAAATGAGCTAAACTCTCCATGAAAAGACAAACTGGACACTGGATTAAGCATC